CGGGAGATCGGGCGGCCGGGGGTCTCCGCAGCGAGCCGGGCTCGCCTGGCCACCTCCTCCTGCCCCTCCTCGAGGCGTCCGTTTAGGGTTGATCCTCCAGTCCGCAGGTCCCTGCATTGTTGGAGCGAGGGTCTGCCACGCTTCAGGTTCAGGCCCACACTGAGCAGGCTTCCTGCTGGTAGAGTTAGCCCAGCCTCTGTAGGAGCTGTTGGCTGGAGAGTATGCCTTTTACACCGCGCTGTCTCCCGCTCGATTCTCCCAGTAGCCCCTTTGCTGTTTTCTCCCCTTCAGCGTGCCTGCAGCCCTCGAAGTGCTGCAGTAAAGGAACTGTCTGCTGCACCTGCACTTTGTATTAGAGGCCTCTATTCGTTTAAAGGAGGAGGCAATAGATAGTCTTAACAAGGGATGACGTTAAGAAATGGGGAGAGAGCATTGTGGCCTTCAAGTGTGTAATTAATTGGCTTGAGGGGAAAGGGAGTGTTGCAGATGAAACAGGCCAAGGTGTATGAAGTAGTGTATGCCCCAGTAGCAGGAAGTGGAAGGTGGGATTGAAAACGTATGACAAACTGGGAGGTGGTGGCGACGCATGCATTAAAAAGAAAAGAAAAGAAAACACATGGCAAGCCCTTCTTTTAGGTGAATGGTTTATTGCGTTGGTGCCTTTGACCATTCTTGTCTTTTCTGTCTGCATTTAATCTTCGCTAGCAGGCTTCCTGATACACTAATGGTTTTGGTTTTCCTTCCGGGCAGGTCTGGAAATAAAGCTGGGCAAGTCTGGGCTCCTGAAGGATCCACTGCTTTCAAGTGTCTGCTCTCAGCAAGATTGTGTGCCGCTCTCCTCAGCAACATCTCTGACTGTGATGAAACATTCAACTACTGGGAACCAGTAGGTGATCTCTTTAGCTGTTGTTTTTGTGTGTTTGGTTGTTTTTAGTTTCTGTAGTCCTAGGGATCTAACCCATGGTCTTGGGTGTGCTAGGCAAATGCTTTACCCACTGGACTACATCCTTAGTCCCCAGTTCTGGAATTTGGCCTTTGATCTTGATTTGGTACTTAGGACTAATTAAAAAACAAGTAAAAATGCACGAGTGAAAATACTAAAATAAATTATCTTCACTTTTATAGCCTAAAACCTATTGATTTGGGGCTAGAGAGCTGGCTCAGTCATGAGGATTATAGTTCAAATTCCAGCAGTTCAAATTTGGGTGAATCCAACTCCAAATCATTACAGCAGTGTGGTGGCGCATGCCTTTAATCACAGCACTCTGGAAACTGAGGCAGGAGGATCTCTTATGAGTTCAAGGCCAGCCTAGTCTCCAGAGCAAATTCCAGGACAGCCTGGGCTACCTAAAGAGACCCTGTCTCAATCAATCAATCAGTTGTTCTCTTATATCTGATCAGTTCTGATCTCTGATCTCATACCCTCTTCTGGTACACATAGCACACAGGTACATGCATACACTCATGCAGACACTCCTACATAAATAAAACAGGTCTTTAAAATAGTCCAAACTGTTGGTTTAGTTACTGTTGAAACCTGTGACCTTTAACTGACATACTCAAAGGTGAGACTTAATAATCTTTTAAATGGTTTTGTAAGTCTAAGTAATACTTGTAGATCCAGGTTTTAAAGGTAACAGTTACTACAAAACTTGAGGGAAGTACACTTATGGATTTTCCTCCTGTCCAGATCCCACTTCTTAGAGGGAAACTATATTCTCCCAACTTTTTAAGTTTATTTCTTCTGATATTTTCCAAAATAATTGTGGGGGCTTGTTATTTGTCAGCTTGACAGAAGCAAGAGTCATTGAAAAAGGGAGGATCCTCAGTTGAGAAAATGCCTCCATAAAACTGGGATATAGGCAAGCCTCTAGGACATTTTCTTAATTAGTGATTGATGGAGAGGGCCCAGCCCATTGTAGGTGCTGCCATCCCTGCACTGGTGGTCCTGGGGTCTATAAGAAAGCAGGCTGAGCAAACCATGAGGAGCAAGCCAGTAAGCAGCACCCCTCTGTGCCTCTGCATCAGCCCCTGTCTCCAGGTTCCTGCCCTGTATGAGTTCCTGCCCACATTGTTTTTGATGGTGAATTGCTATATGGAAGTGTGAGTGTTCTTTTGTTGGTTTGTCCTGGCCAACTTCGATGTGGTAGTTTTTGTCTTATTATATTTTGTTTTTTTTATATTTTTAAGACAAATGAGTGAATGAATGAAAACCTAGTCACTAGGGTAAAGACTAACAACTGAACTGTCATTTAGACTTGCTGAGAGGGAAATTCGTTTCCTCCATTTGAGTGACACAGACTCTCATCCACTCCAGGACACCTCATATTCAGGTGTACTTGATCAGTATAGAATCAAACTCCACAGGTTTCTTTGTTGTTGTTTTGTGTGTGTGTTACTAATAGTGCATGTGTAATATTATTTCTAATTTATATGTTTATGTATTATTTGCTGACTTCCTAGTATAGAAAATTTGGAAGTACATTTACCTGAACACATTTGTATCAAAAACCAGAGGGAAGATGCTTACTTGGTGTATGTAAGGAAAATAAAAGACTTAAGAGTTTTTCTGTTTCAGTTAAACCTTTTTTTTGTTTTTGTTTTTGTTTTTTGAGGCAGGATTTCTCGTGTAATGGCTCTGGCTGTCCTGGAACTAGCTCTTGTAAACCAAGCTGGCCTTGAACTCACAAAGTCCACCTGTCTCTGCCTCCCAATTGCTGGAATTAAAGGCCTACACCACCACTGCCCGGCGTTAAACATTATTTTAAGAAATTGTTCTTTAGTTACAAATGTTAATTCTCAACACTTTGTGTCTGACAGTTTTGCCATGGAGTCTTCACCTGTAAGCCCGTGAGGGGCTCTGCTAGTACAGCCCTGAGCACGTCTGTTTTTGCTTTCAGACTCACTACCTCATCTATGGGAAGGGATTTCAGACGTGGGAATATTCTCCAGTGTATGCCATCCGCTCGTATGCTTACCTGTTGCTGCATGCCTGGCCAGCTGCATTTCACGCACGGATTCTGCAAACTAATAAGGTAAGGGCGGCTAGCCCGATCACAGTCACGGCGGTCAACAGGCGAGCCTGGGAGCAGTTTTGAAAAGAGAACAAAACCCATTGACAATTAAGAGGCTGATTTGTTTCTTTTTCTCTTCTTCTTTTTGTTTTTCTTCTTGGAGAAAGAGTCTTGGTGTGTTTCGTAGGCTTGTCTGGAACTTTTGGACTCCCGCTTTCCCCCCTCATTCCCCAAGTTCCTGTGTCTGTAGGCCTGGACTGTCAAACTACGGGCGTGCGAGCCGTGTGGAGGTTAGAGGACAATCTTTTGGATTCAGTTCTCTCCGACTGTAGATGTCTTGGATCACACGCAGGTGTCAGACTTGCACAACAAGCACCTTTCAACCTGCTGAGCCACCTCCCTGCCTCACCATCCAGCGCACACTAATTGAGCAGCTTTTGTGTAGTGTAGATTATGTTAAGTGATGGGGCGGTGACCCAGCTGAGTCTGCCTTCATGGAAATTACAGTTCCATGGGGGAAGAGAAACATTAAATAATTCAAAATGTAGATTTATGGGAGAAAAGTACAAGGCGTGATGGGGTAGCATATTGAGAGAGTCTAATTTAAGTAGCGTACTCAAGAGTTAGCTGCAGCCTGACTTGGCTTAGGGTTAAAAATTTTTACGGTCCATGTTCTGGTGTGGGTTTTTTTGTTGTTGTTGTTTGTTTGTTTACTCAGTTACTTGACTATCTAGGCTTATGCTTTTTGCCAAATTTGGGAAGAGGTGTATGTGTATGTGTGTGTGTATGTGTGTGTGTGTGTCTGCAGATCTGAGGGGCCTGTGTAAGCACATGTGCCTGTGCACAAGCACAGAGGCCAGAGGAGATACCAGCTGTCTTCCTCCATCGCTCTCTACTTTATTCCCTTGAGACAGGGCCTCTCACTAAACCTGAAACTCTATTTTGCCTAGGAGATGGCCGGTAAGCTCCTAGGAGCCACCTGTCTCTGCCTCCTGATGCTGAGGTTACGAAAGCACATGGCCATCCATGCCTGGCTTTCACATGGCTACCAAGTTTGAGTTCACTTCTTCATGCTTGTATAACATGCACTCTCAGTTGTGGAACCATGTCCCATAGTGTGTGTGTGTGTGTGTGTGTGTGTGTGTGTGTGTAGTCCAGAGGTGTCAGAACCCTTAAAGTTGTAGGTGTAGCTGCAGGTGGCTCAGCTGCCTGACATGGACAGGAACTCAAGTCCTCTGGACTAGCAGCACATACTCCTAACTGTTGAACCATCTCTCTAGCCCTGGGAGCAGTCTTTGTAACTGAAGGTCTAAGGATTATTTCTCATATAAATTAGTTTGATTTATGGAGAGTGGTGGGATGGATTAAATGAGACTGAGAAATAAGAAGAGGCCATCTTTGTGTAAGGTCTGCTAGGATCTATTAGGAGATACTAGTGGTGTTTTGGTTTGTTTGTTTGTTTTTGTTGAAAAGTTTTTGAGCAGAGTCATGGTTACAGTTGCATTTCACAATGATCAGAGAGACAGCACACACAGAAAGTGGCAGGACACCGTCTCTTCCTTTCCTGCCAAGTATCTCATTTCTGGCTTTTTAGGCTTTCTTGTGCTTCTGAATTTATTAGAGGACAAATAAGATGGAGGACTCAGTAGAGAGCCAGCAGCTTGCAGTGCTTACTTTTTATTTCTAGCTGAGTATCCATTATCACACTGAGCTTGGTGTTTCCAGACTTCATCCTCTTCTGTCGCTCACCTTACACACATGGTGTGAGCAGCTCGTGTTCCAGTTCACTCTGGTGCTGTGGTAAGAGCATTCAGATTAAAAACAACTTGGCGGGAAGGGGGTTATTTGGTTTATACTTCAAGTCACAGTCTTCGTCAAAGGAAGTCAGAGCAGGAGCTCAAACAAGGAGTCAAACAGCAGCCATGGAGGGATGCTGCTTGCTGGCATGCTCCCTGACCCTTAACCCTTTGACATTTTTGTTTCCTTAGGCTAGGCTGGCCTTGAACTCGCAAAGATGCGTCTATCTCTGCCTCTCTAGTGCTAGGATTCAAGTATGTGTCACCACACCTTTCTAACTAGCTTTTTATCCAGTACAAGTCTATTTGCTTTCCTAAACAGAGGAGAAGTGGATTGGGGGGTAGGAACAGAGGGTCAGTGGGGGGAGGGACTGGGAGGAGAGAAAGGAGGGGAAACTGTGGCTGAGATGTAAAATAAGTAAATTTATTTAAAAAATAAAATAAGAAAGAATGGGAGAAAAAATATGAAAAATCAACTAACTACTATTAGATTTCCTCCTTTTTCCTCTGGTCTGTAGACGGTGTGCATGTTCCTTCATGACATTGGATGTGGGTTCATTTTGTTTCAAGTGCCAGCTTCTTGGCTGAAATCCTTACTTGTGATATAGTCAAGTCAGTTCTTCCCTTAGGGTCCTAGGTCTTTCTAAATAAAGACCTCCTTTATCCCACAGTAATAGTTGTTCCATTATCTTGTTAGCTTTCATTTTACCTGTCACTTATGAGACTTCTGTCATTGTCCCTCCACCACACCCCATTTTACCCTGGTGGAATGTAATTGAGTTTGTATTTTGATCTTTATGCTGAATATCTCAGTGAATTTCCAGACTGATGCCAGTGGTTTGTCAGCTGAATCTCCCGGATTGTTTTTCACTTGGGTTTATGTCCTTATCGATTTTATGTTGCTATAGTAAAGTACCCGAGGCTGGGTAGGTCATAAAGGGGACAGACAGCTGGGTGTAGTAGCACAGGCCTTTAATCCCAGCACTTGAGAGGCAGACGTGGGTGGATCTCAGTGCGTTTTGAGGCCAGCCTGATGTACATAGTGAGCGGAGAATTGAAATAATAGACTGTCAGCATTCTGGCAAGGGTACCCTGGCTATATCATTTGAAGGAGAAGCAGAAAGAAACTAGGTGTATACCTGAGGCAAAGGCGAGGCAGCGTGCTTGCTCTGTGGCAGCCTGTTCTCAAGGGAGCTAACGCAGTCCCACGAGAACCTGCCCCTGCTGAGAGAGTAATAATCTATTCAGTGAGCAGAAGCCACTAAGCCTCCTTGCTGTCTACCAGGACCTGCTTCTTGTAAGTTCATTATCTTAATGTCACTGCTCTGGAGACCAAGCTGCTAGTAATCAAATGCTTAGGGACAAACCATAACTATACGTTTCTTTCTCTCATTCTGCCCCTTAGGCCTCATTTCTGTTTCCTTTGGCGCTGACTGGGACTTTCAGTTACAGTGCTGATAGGGGAGCCGGTGGCATCATTGTCCTGCTGTTGAACAGTCTTAGACCAGATCATTTTCTCAAATTTATTTTATTTTTATTATTTGTATATATCTCTGTGTGTGCATGAGAGCGCAGGTGTCTACAGGCCAGAAGTAAGTGTCAAATCTCCTGGACCTGGAGTTACAGGTGGTTGTGAGTCACGTAAAATGGGTGCTGGGACTGAGCTCAGGTCTTCTGAAAGAATAGTATGCGATCTTAACCTCTGAGCCCTCTCTCCAGCTCATTTCTTTTTTAACTTTCAAATACTCCATAGTGTGAGGAGCCCTTATCATAGACACGTCTCAAATGATCTGCCCTGTGACATCTGCACAGTTGCTTATCATGTGGTATAGGCTTTTCGTGTCTTATTAATGAGTGAATCTGACTCTCATTGGCTCTTTCTAAACTCATTTGGGAATTCGGTTGGCTGTAGTGATAAGCGTGGGCAGTGTTTTCATGCTGGCTCTTTGCAGTTATTCTGCTGAGTATGGAAGCGGAGTCACGCTGTGAGGATTCAGCACTCTTCACATACTCTGTATGCTCTGTAGTCTAAAAGCTAATCAAGGGGCTGGAAAGGTGGCTCAGCGGCTTCAAAAGCGCTGTGTGCTCTTCCAGAGGACCTGTGTTCACTTCTCAGCACCCACATGGCAGTTGAAACCATCTGTAGCTGCAGCTCTGGGGTCTGATGCCCTCTTCTGATCTCCTTGGGGGCACTACCTGAAAGTAGCTCATAGATATATGTGCAGGCAAAACACACATGCGCATAAAATAAAAATAAGTAAATCTTAAGAGCTAGTCATTACAACCCTTATTGCTGTGTTTTTAAGCTTATGCCATTAATTATAGAATTGATTAATCCATAGTATAGGCAGGAGGTAAACACCTTAATCCCAGTAGGCTGCCACGTCTCCTCTTACCATTGTGTATCTTTCCAGTCTTTCATATGCAGTAGTTTCCATAGCTGTAATGCTGATGTATTTTGTAAATAGTCAGTATTTAAATTTTTATGACTGTTGAACAAGTGCTTTTCAGCCAGGTGAGGTGGCTCATATGTACAGTCCAGCACCTAGAAGGCTGAGGCAAGAGGATACCTGTAGGTTTTAGGTCATCCTGAGATCCATAGTGAGTTCCAGGATAGCCTGAGCTACAGTGTAAGACCCTGTATTAGAGGGGAGAGGAGGAGCTGGAGAGATGGCTCAGTGGTTAAGAGCACTGGATGTTCTTCCAGAGGTCCTGAGTTCAATTCCCAGTAAATGCATGGTGTCTCACAACCATCTGTCATGAGATCTGGTGCCCTCTTCTGGCCTGCAGCCAAACATGCAGGTGGAACACTGTATAATAATAACTAAATAAATCTTAGGGAGTAAAAGGGGGGAGAGTAAGGGAGGAGAGGACACAAAAGAGCAAGGTATCACAGGTTTCAGGTGTTTATACTCTCTGAAATAGATGTAGTAGCATGATCAGTTGTATGCCTACATCATTGGATATTTGGTAGTTTTTACAATAGATGCTTTTATGAATGGAGGCTCCCACCCCTCCTACAGTAAAGAAGTGGGTGCAGTGAGTCTGGGGATATGAAAATTTGTGTGGTTCTCAATAAATTTGGCTCTTCAGAAGTATTGTATCAGTTTATAGTATAGTTTACCGACAACAAGTGAGAACTTTGTCCTCACAAGCTTCTAGGCTCCTGTTGCTGACTTCTGTGTTTTCACTCTGGCTTTCTTTCAGATTCTCGTCTTCTACTTTTTGAGATGTCTCCTGGCTTTTGTGAGCTGTATTTGTGAACTTTACTTTTATAAGTAAGTATCAAAGCTTTGCATCCAAAAGCGCTAGGGACCCTGCTGAAGCACAGATCTCTGACAGCTGTCAGAGAGCACTCTCCTGTGGTACTCTAGCTGAAGGGCGACTTCTTGTCTGCAGAGAAATTGAGGAGCAGAGCATCCAGCTGCTGTTCCTGTTGGCATGTCCCTGATTTTAATTTGCAGTACATGTCTCGCTCATCCTCATAGGATTTAGTGAAGCCTTAGTTTTGGGTCTAAGTGAAGGATTGATTGATTCACTTCTCCCCTAGAGCTGAGCCAATGGGAGACTGTTCCCAGTGTAAGACTCTGCTCTCATTTGCACTCAGTACATGGCCTCACACCAAGTAGCTCTCGGTTGATTGAATATTAATGAATCTATTATGCATTTAAGTATTCTAGCAATAAAATAGCTGCCTTTAAAAAATGTAACACATAAAACCCATTAAATTTAATAGTGCCTTAACACATTAAAAGAAAGTACTCAGACTTAAGGATCATTATTAAAAGTTTTCCCATAGCTAGATGTGCCAGATTAAAGTTAATTTTTGTCCTTGACTCTGACAAGATTAGAGGTAAAAATAAAACCAGTACTCCCTCTGGGATTGTAGCTATAAGTTGGTTTTCATGTGGATTTGGGCCTGAATTCAAATCAACCGTCTCATCTCCTAAGACCCATGATGGAGATTTATGGTGAATTGTCCTAGATTAGTAGAGGTCCATGCGTCACGTAAAAATTTCCCTAGAGAACTGGACTCTTAACCCAGACGTCAGAAAATCACCAGGACTAAAGTCGTAATGCACAAGAAAGGGTGATAAAATCAGGCTGGAAAGTGGCTTTGTGGCAGAGCGCTTGCTTCATGTGCACAGGGCTCTGGGTTTAATTCCCAGGAGGGCGTGAGAAACAGAACAAAGAAGTCACACCAAAGTACCACACAGATCGGGGAAGTCACAAAAAGTGACATGACATTGAAGAGCTAGCAGAAATCACAGTCATCAAGAAGTTGGCCTGTAAGTCTTCATTTATTAGGAATTATTAAAATGAAAACAATGTTTTCTATGTGTAGGAAAGTGAGGAGGGAACTGAAAACATGAAGAGAAACAAGAACCTCCAGAAATGACCAGGCCAGTGTGAAAAATAGTAAGACCATATAGAGACAAAAATGTAGTCATTTTATGTTGACTTTATATATATGCACATATAAACTAACATATGTGTGTGTGACATTTATGTAATTTGATATTTAAGACCCAGTAGATAGTCTAAACAGATTAAGACTGCTAATAAGCAAAGTAGTAAAATGAAAGACAAATTTGAAGAAATTGCTAGGAATAAAGTTTAGAGAAGAAAGGAATAGAGAGGAAGTTAATGTGTAAGGTTTCTAGATCTGATATAGAGAATGAGAGGAGGCAACATTCAGAGAAGTGTGGCTCACAGTTTTTTAAAGCTAGTGGGAAAGGTTGGTAATCCATAAATTCAGTAAATCATGCATCTTGATCCAGGAATATAAAAAGAACTTTATGAAATTGTGTAAAACACCAGAGATAAAGGACCAATCTTAAAACTGGACAAGGAGTTCGTGGAGTCCCTGTAAGGGCGCACTGAGCAGTGAGACTGAGGCCACGGCAGACAAAGCACACAAGCAGTACCAGAGACGGAAGCCCTTACTCTATAGTTCGAGAGAGCAGGCTGTGGGCTCGGGGATGAGTGCTTGAGTCCTCTCAGGGCCCTGGGGTCATCCCCAGCAGAACAAAATAAAGAATGCCGAAGCAAATGCCAGCCATGCAAAAGTGAACTAAGTTTAAGATCAAGAGCTAAGTACAGATTTCCAGTTAAAAAGAAAAGAAAGGAAAGCCAGCCGGGTGGTGGTGGCACACACCAGGAGAAGTCTACAAATCGAATTCCAGGACAGCCAGGGCTGTTACACATAGAAACTCTGTGATAAAAAACAAAAACTACACACACACACAAAGAAACCCACCTACAAATTAGAGAAATTTTTATTAATATGTTCTTACTGAAAGAACTTCTAAAAGATGTCCTTTGGAGGAATCAAAACCTCTGCAGGAAGAAGCAGCTGAAATAAACCTGAGTGAAGACATGCCTCACACGTGAACAGATGCTGACTAAGTCAGTAGCTGTGCTGGGTCTGACGGCCCACGCCTCCAATCCCAGCATCTAGGAAGCAGAAGCAGGCATGAGTCGAGGCCAGTCTGGCCTACAGAGTGAGTTCTAGGGCAGACAAAGCTGTCACTTTGAAAGGTTCTGTATTGAAAAACAAACAAACAAAACGAAAAAAGTTTAATAGCAACACTTAAATGGCATTAATTTGTGGGATTAGAAAAAAACAAAATAATCTAAACATTGTAGAAGGACAGATATAGTTTCCCAAGTTTGAAAAACATTGACATGGGTAAATTATGTGGCTTTTGTGTTATTTTCTAGTCTTTTTTCCCCCTGAGAATTAACATTTATTTATGTTTTTAAGATATTTAAAGTTTATTCTTTGATACTTTTATGCATGTATACAGTGTTTCTCGAGCATATCCACTCTAATTCTGCCCTACCATTCCCTCTAGTAGCTGCCTGTAATTAAATCCCCCTCTCATCTTCATGTCTTTTTTTTTTTTAAATAACCCCTGAGCTAGGCAATGGTGGCTCCCTCTAATCCCTGCACTCAGGAGGCAGAGGCAGGTGGATCTCTTAAGTTCAAGGCTAAGGCCAGTCTGCAAAGTCAGGCCTACATAGAGAAACCCTGTCTCAAAAAAAAAAAAAAGAAAGAAAAAAACAAAACAACAACAAAAAACTCCCACTGAGTTCAGTAAGTACTGCACACTTGCATATGGCTGTGGAACAATCGACTAGAACATGGACCACCTACCAGCTACATCCCCAAGAGAAATGTCCCCCCTGCTAGTAGCCCCTCCCTCGTTCATGCTAGAATGTTGTTCCGGTCACCACAGCTTGTTGTGCATGGCATGGTCGTGTCATGTCCAGAAGACAGGTTTCATAGCACTCCTTCCGTCCTCTGGCTCTTACATCCTTTCCCTCCGCTCTTCAGTAATATTCCTTAAACCTGCTGCTGCTGCTGCTGCTGCTGCTGCTGCGGCTGCTGCTGCTGCTGCGGCTGCTGCTGCGGCTGCGGCTGCTGCAGGTGGTGGTGTTATATAGCTGTCCTCTTAGAGCCGCACATCAGTAGTCGCTTACTCTCATCACCTGGGCTCTCCATTAACCCCGACCACTGTAAATAGATGCGTCTCTGCCCAAGGCTGAGTACTAATCTGTGGTTATAAACAAATGTTTAGGAAGGTTTTTTGAATTAATATGCATAGGTATTTTGATTGCATGTATGCATGTGCACTTTGTATGTGCCTGGTGCCCTGAGAGGCCAAAAGAGGGTGCCAGATCCTCAGGAACTGGAGTTACAGATGGTTGTAAGCCACCGTGTGGGTGCTGATAATTGAAAGCTGGTCTTGTGAAAGAGCAGCCAGTGCTGTTAACCATTGGATAATCTCTCCAGCCCAGAAGGCACTTGACAACATATCCACTTAGCAAGACCGAAATAGTAGCTTACCCACTACAACCTCTGAGCTTCCCCAGCAGTGGGCTTTGAGCCAGGTTTACAGTATTAGGCATGAAGTCCTCCCATGGAGGAGGACTCAGGTCCAGTCAGAAAGCAGCTGGCTCCCCCTTAGCAATTATGTCATTGTTGCCCCTGTGAGAACATCTTGCCTGGTAGGTTTGTATTACGGCACATAGGGTCCACTGCTGGAGAAGGCCATTGATGACTTCTCCTTCAGTTGTCTAGAGAACCTTCTAGCACTATGAATGCTAACCATTAAGGAGACAGTTTCAGGTTAGTTCTAGTTTATCTTTCTCTCTGTCCTGCAAACAAAGTATGTGGTGCCTTCAGTATATAGGATGTGAGCCAACTGTAGTGGGAAAGCGATCTCTGGAAATAGCATGGGTTGTTTTGGGGACCTCTGGGACCTCCCTGACCAGTAACTCGTAGGGAGCGGTCCTGTACCTGGTGCTGGTATTTTCATTTAATAATCCATGTCGTTTGGTAACAACATTATCTACTCATGCAAGGCACCTCTGTTGAAACCTTATTTTTTATTTTAAATAATGACATATTTTGATTAGCTTGCAAAGCAGTAGGCATCCATGCATTCTCAGTTCTGATTAATCTGCCTCTCTTCTTTATCTCCTCTGCCCAGTCACTGCTAAAACCTTTAACTCCTTGTATTATCTCTCTGCTTTTGTTTTTATCTTTTGAAACAGGGTTTCTCTGTGTGGCCCTGGCTGTCCTGAAACTCATTCTGTAGAGCAGGAACTCAGAGATCCACCTGCCTCTGCCTCCCAAGCGCTGGGAATAAAGGCGTGTGCCATCCCACAAGGCATCCTTCTCTGTGTGTTGAGAAAAACCTTTGCTGGACATCTCTATGCTAGGCACTTTACTAAGCATTTTTCTGGCAATATCCCTCACAGAAACTTTATGTAGGCATAGTTGCTATCCTCTTACAGATGTGGAAAATGGCAGACTATCAAATTAGCCACTGCTGGTCAGAATTTGAACCTGCCTGCTGTGGGACAATGGTCTGTACCCTGTCACTTGTATTTTAAATAAATGCTGATTGGCCAGTAACCAGGCAGGAAGTATAAGCAGGGCGACCAGGCAGAAAGTAGAGGCAGGGCAATGAGAATTCTGGGAAGAGAAAGATTCGGTCTGCAGTCGTGACCCAGCCACAGAGGAAGCAATATGAGAGCGCCTCAAGGTTAAAGGTGCCAAGCTAACATAGACAAGAATAATGGGCTAGTTTAATATGTAAGAATTAATTAATAAGAAGCTTGAACTACTAGGCCAACCAGTTTATAATTAATGTAGACGTCTGTGTGTTTCTTTGGGACTGAACAACTGTGGGACCGGGCAGGACAGAAAACTTGGTCAACATGTGCCTGGACCTGAGGCCTGCAATTTCTTACAATATCATGCTATCTCCCTATTGATAGCAGATATAATTCTAAATGTGCAGCTTTTCTTAAAGAAGACACCTTCTGTGCCAAGAGTAAGAAGTCTGTTTCTTATGCATATGAAATTGTTAAGAACTTTTAAACACATTTCCTCTTAAGGAGCTCTTCTGTGTCAGGAGGAAGAGGTTTGGGTTTCTTATACATACGAAATTGCTGACAGTCTAGACAGCTCTGTGTTTGACTTCATTGTTACTTCTCAAACAGACCTCCATTTCTTCATTGCTTTGTGACATCTGTCTTCTAGTAGCCACAATATTAATGGTTTTTATCTTTTCTTTGAGGGCCGTGTGCAAGAAATTTGGGCTGCATGTGAGTCGAATGATGCTGGCCTTCTTGGTGCTCAGCACTGGCATGTTTTGTTCATCGTCTGGTAAGTAGAAGGGCAGGTGTGTGGGTCACAAGTTCACCTTCCTATACAGTTGCCTTTGAGGGACGCACTCAGCCAGCAAGATTATGTAGACGAATGCTTGACAGAGAGAGCACTGGTGTGTGACCTGCACAGACTCATGAGTCGTAGACCTGGCAGTCTCACTGGAGAGTTTCTGTTTCTTCTTCTTCCTAATGGCTCACTTCCTTTCTTGGCCACTGGAGGAGAGTTTTTTTAATTGATGGCTCTGTTTTCTGCCTGTTATTTGAGATGTATTCTATAGAGGTTGTATCCCTTGGGCATTTATTTTTGTAGTTAGCTTCTGGACACCTAGAATAAAGGTTCTAAGTAGGACTGGTAGCTTGCCGGCTGTGTTGCCTTTGAACAGCAATATTCTGTGGACTGAGCTAAGGTAGCCTGCTCAAAAGATAGGTGGTTCCCAATTCTCCAGAAAAATTATCTTGCTAAATTATCTCAATTTTAGTTTATGCTTATATAGTCAAGACTCTAGTAGGTTCACTAAATATACAAGATAGCACCTTGTACAGAGTTCATGGTTAGCATTTTCTTCATTGACCATATGGAAATAAATGTTCTACAGGGACCTCTGGGCTCCACCCTGGACCAGCTTGGAGAGCCACTGTAGTGAATGTGCAGTAAATGCTTCATCAGCATTAGCAGAGACCTCAGATCTCTCTGCTCTTTTGTTCTCTGCACTGGCAGCCAGACTTGACTTCAATATTATTTAGCATCTGTCTGTGGAAGCTGCATCTCACATGTTCTGTTTTAGTTACTTTGCTAATCCGGAAACAGATTTGTATGTGTGGGGCGTTCCCTTAGTTTTGCAGCCTCAGTTGAGGCACTTAGGAATTCAGTCTTTACAGCGGAGCCTTTGAAGTGGGCCCTTGCTGAGTGTCCTAAATCTCACTGCGTATTCATTGTAGTTCTTGTTAGAATCAGCTGATTTTTTTTTTTTTTTGCTTCAGGAATCAGGCCTTATGAAGCATGAAAAGCCACATTTGTTTAGTTGTTAGGAATATTTTGCTGCTGTTGCAAGATCCTTGAGTGTGTTCAAACTATTGTATACCATGACAAAGTTATGGTAGATGCAATGGTTAAGGGGCAATGCCAAGGCCAGAATGTAGCTCTGAGCCTTGAGGAGGCTTCCTAGAATCCCTGTAGAGAACAAGTGTGAACCAGGATATCTTAGCAGAAGAAACCAATACATTGTCCGCAATGGGTCCGCAATGGGTCTGAGTCTTTTGAATCATATTCTCTGCATGGAAATAAAGGTGGAGAGTCCTGAATTTGTTTAAGCTTTAAATTTAGGCCAGGAGAGGAATGGATGGCTAGTGTTGTGTAACTGGGGCCTTGTGTACTTGGAAAAAAGGTGTGAGGAAATAAAAGCCACAGTGCATTTTGTGTTTTGAATAGGAATGTCCTTTGACAACCCATTTGTTTCCTCCACTTCCTCCCTTTCTTTGTGTATTTCTTTCTACCTAGGGTCTCACGGTCCAAGACAGGGTCTCATGTGGCCTCAAACTTGTTTCACAGCTGGGGATGCCCTTGAACTTCTGATTTTCTTGCTACTACCTCCTGAGGGCTGGGACTGTAGGCATGTGCCACAATGTCCAGTTTTTTTGTGGCCTAGGAATTGAACCCCAGGCTTTGTGCATTATAGGCAAGCACTCTGTCAGCTGAGCCATGTCTTCAACCTTAGTGCTTGTTTATAATAGTGTTTTCCAAAATAGATTCATAATTAACTGGCATTTTGCAGTGCAGGTGAATTTTTAAAATCAATATCTAATCTCATTCTCTTGTTCCTTTCTCTCTTTGCTCTTGTAGCATTCCTTCCTAGCAGCTTCTGCATGTATACTACATTGATTGCCATGACCGGATGGTATATGGACAAGACACCCATTGCTGTGCTGGGAGTAGCAGCCGGGGCTATTGTAGGGTGGCCATTTAGTGCAGCCCTTGGGTAAGAAACTTAAGTTATTCCTTTCCTGTATACCCTGGGCATCTGGTCAATCCTGATGTTGTATCAGATGCAGATTTCCCAGCCAGCAATGCAAGTTAAAGAAATTGATTTGACTGATGAAGACTTTGGGAACAAAAACATATTACTGTTTCTTCGTGTGTTTTATTCTACTGAGAGGAATGACTGCTAAGCCACTGCTGAATGCTAGCAATTGCTAGCATTACCAAACCATCACAATTTTTATTTCTAAATTTTACAGCTTTGCAAGAAGCTATAATAATTAGTAGTTTTGAGTGGGTTGGATTTTTGAGACAGGGTTTCTTTGTGTAGACTTAGTTGTCTTGGAATGAGCTCTGTAGACCAGGCTAGACTTGAATTTACAGAGATCCACCTGCCTCTCCCATCTGAGTGCTGGGATCAAAGGTGTGTGTCACCACTTCCTAACAATAATTAGTATTTTTATAAATGAGAACATAGGTAGTAAGATTTGGAATAATTTGCCATTAACATTATGCTTGCTTTTTTAAAAATGCTTATACTAGCTTATATTAATTATACATACCAGGTTTCACTGTGACGTTTTCATACATGTATAGAATATATTTCAGCCATTTTCCTCAGCCGTGTTATTCTCTCTTGCCCCACTCCCTCTCTTGCTGACCACTGTCCCCTGTCTTCTAAAGCTTGCTGGTGTTTCTCCTACTGCTGCAGTCTGCGCTGTGCTTTTCCTTGGCACCCAGATTGAAATGCTCCCTTTTGTCCTTCTCTTTTCTTGGAAAAAAAAATTATGTGCATGGGGTGCATGTCTGTCTGTGTACCACACGTCTGCAGTGTTCCTGCAGGCTAGAAAAGGGCATCAGGTCCTCTGGAACTGAGCTGCCACGTGGGAGCTCTGGAAGAGAAGCCCATGCTCTTAATCACAAGGAATTTTCCTTGCATCCCTTCTCCTTTCTTGTTCCAGCTCCTTCCCCGAGTTTAAGTGTGTCTTCACTTCCTTCCATACTCTTTGTTTCTACTACTTCTTTCTCGGTTTGTCTACCTTAACTTCTTGACTATACTAGAGGAATTGGCTCTTTGGTTAAAAGTGCATGCTGCTCTTAGAGAAAACCGGAATTTGGTTCCCAGCATCCGTACTGGGTGGTTCACAACTGCCTGGAACCGCAGTTCCAGGGAACCTGGTACCCTCTTCTGGACTTGGGAGGCACTAGCACTCACATATTATATACATAATTTAAAAATACATCTTAATAGTTGTTATTAACATTTTAAATATAATATTCCATATTTTTAAAAGTACCTATAGGGTATAGCTCAGTAGTAAAATGTTTGCCTGGAATGTATAGGACCTCACCACAGCAACAAATAACCAAAGGGCAGATTTAATGAGGTAAAAAGGGTTTTTGGAGACTGGGGAGATGACTTAGTAAAGTGCTTGCCGTGCAAAGCCGAGGTCTTGAGTTCAGTCCCCGGCACACACTTAAAAGGCAGGTATGGTGCTTCTGAAATCCCAGGGCTGGGATGGAGACTGAAGGGTTTCTGGAGCTCACTGGCCAGCTAACCTCGCTGAACTGATAAGCTCCAGGGTCAGGGGTTGACGCTCTCTCTAAAAAAATGCAGTGGAGAGCCACTGAGGGAGAGTTGGCTCAGCAGTAAAGTCACTTGCTGTACAAATCTGAGTTTGATCCTTGGAGTCCACATAAATGTGGAGGGGACAAAACTGATTCCTCAGAGTTATTCTCTGACCTCCACATACACCATGACATGTGTACCTGCAAACCTACTCACATTAAAAATTATTTATTTACAAGTTAGAAATATATAATAAAATCCTAGTTAATTTCAGAAGGGAGAGGTCAGTACTTGCCAGTAGGTGTAGAATAATGGTGTACTTGAATGTATATTGACTGTGTCTTACATGTCTAATACATACCAATCAGTGTCAGGATGGTCCAGCAGCATCTGTCTGTTTCTTGTCCATCTGTGGCATACCTCTCTTGATGGGTCCTTGGAAAGACCAGCTTATTTTTGAGAAGACATCTTGTCTCATACAAGATTCCTTTCTTCTCTGCCCCTGGGAAAGCCATTTGGTTCTCTGCTCAGCGTAGACCTGTGTGACTCTGTCCCAAGTGTTTAGTACTTTACCAACATCTTCCTGTGTTTCTGTTGAATAGTTTACCCATCGCCTTTGACTCACTGGCCCTGAAACACAGGTGGAAGAGTTTCTTTCATTGGTCGCTGGTGGCCCTAATTCTCTTCCTGGTGAGTTTCCTGTTTTCTGTGTTTGCTCTCATGTTTGAAGTAGCTTCTGATGTGGTGAAGGAAACATCAGGAGCTCATTTTGTTTTTCATTCTGAAGTTTTTTTCATCAGCATTTTGAAAACTACCTCTGCTGTTTTTTCTTTTACTTTAGGTGCCCGTAGTGGTCATTGACAGCTACTATTATGGAAAGTTGGTGATTGCTCCTCTCAACATTGTTGTGTATAATGTGTTCACTTCTCATGGACCTGATCTTTATGGTAAGCCTTTAGAAAATTTGAGGAAAAAGTAGAAAAAAGCTTAGTTTACCTGAGCTTCACAATTTTAATTCACATATATCCCTTCCTCCCCATTCCTTCCCTGCATGCTTCAGGCATAGTCCAAGTTGGCCTTGAATTCCTGATCTTCCCCCTACATTCTAGAACTGGAATAACAGTGTGCACTGACCAAATGTGGCATTTTGTGCTGTGTCCTTTTCTACTGAACACAGAGCTTTTGACTGCAGTGTAATGAAAGCATAGCCCCTGTGTCTGCTGACTGGTACGGTGGTCAGCGCTGACCCTCCCTCTGTGCTGCTGAACATTATCCCCAGATCTAGACTCAGGGAGCTTTAAGGAGTGTTGGCTATGCGTGGTGTCACTCTGTAGTCAAAACTAGTCTTAAACTTGTAGCAATCCTCCTGACTCCTCCTCCCAAGTGACACAACTGTAGGGTTGACCATCCCTGCCTGTCTTAAACTATGGCTTTAATGCTTTTTAAATTTTTTAATCAAACTACTTTTGAGGTGGTTTTGGTGGTACATGTAATTCCAGTACTGGGGAGGCAGAGGCAGGAGTAGCAGTTCAAAGCTAGCTACATAGCAAGTTTGAGGCTAGCTTGGGCTACATGAGACCCCTCTCTTAAAAAACAGCAGCTGAGTGTGGTGGCGCACGCCTTCAATCCCAGCACTCAGGAGGCAGAGGCTGGGGGATCTCTGTGAGTTAGAGGTCAACCTGGTCTGCAAAGTGAGTTCCAGGACAGCAGGGCTGTGGTTTTTATACAAAGAAACTGCATCTCAAAAAACAAAAAAACAAACAAAAAATAAATACAAATCAACAACAACAACAACCAAACTTCTTTTTTAACAAAATATTTTATTTTTATTATTTTATTTTTTAATATTTATTTTATTATTTTTAATATGTATGTATTTATTATGTATACAATATTCTGTCTACAAGCACATCTGCAGACCAGAAGAGGGCACCAGACCTCATTACAGATGGTTGTGAGCCACCATGTGGTTGCTGGGAATTGAACTCAGGACCTTTGGAAGAGCAGGCAATGCTCTTAACCACTGAGCCATCTCTCCAGCCCCAGTCAAACTTCTATTATCATAAAATGAATATAATAACAAAAAGAAAACAAACACATAGCCCTGTCATCTCTATGTAGTAGTATTAACTTTTAGGAGTATATTCCTACATATATTTTCTATACATATACATTTGATGTTAGTTTTTTGCGGGCGGGGGGGGGGGGAGAAAGTTTGAAAAATCTGCAAGGTGAGCAAAGGAGACTCGTGTCAGAAGGAAAGAATGAGTAGACTGGCTAGTTTAAGATTAAAAGAAGGTAATTGCCTGTCGTGCTTCTGTGATGTAATCTCTAGGTACCTGAGAACCTCCGTCTCTTACCCACCCCACCCCAGTCTAGTTTTATTTGACCCCTGAATGCATTTGGACTGGCTAGTTACTGAAAGATGTTAGAGGCTTTTCTAGATCAACCAAGCCACTAAATACTTCATGAGCAAATTTCCCTGTTGGAATCAGTGTGGTTTCTTTATCAGTCTTCCAGGTGTCCCCAGAGCATTCTCTGCATTTGACTGCCCTGGCTTGGTTGGGAGTCAGGTGTCTCAGGCCAGCTTCCATGATTAGTATTTGCTGGGCGACCTGGCCAGTTAAACCAGTAGCTTGCTCTGGCAGCCTCTAGATGTCTCCCTTCATCTAGGGAAAGTTCACATGTTTTAAATTGCCCCTTAGTTTGGTTTATTTTCACGATTTTATTTGACTACATCCAGACTGCGTGGTGAAAATTGATTTACATGTCACCAATTAGAAATTTATCCATTCTTTATTGGTGAATGGGTTAATTTTGAAAAACTGGCTTCTCACTTTTGTAAATGGGTCATTATATGCTGGGTAGTCTGACTGCTTATTAAACTCTAAAGAAAACATGAAAGTGATACATTTTTGTAGCCCTTTAGAGGCTCTAGAGATGATCGGGCTCCTGGGGAAGTGGGGAGGAAAGGCCTGGTGTTCCTGTTCAATAGTGGGTTGGCCAAGGAGGCTGCCGTAGGTTTGGGAATATGGTAGACCTGAGTCCAGTCTCTCCTTGGACTCTGGTGTCTGCAGTTCATTTCACACAGTGTTTGTTGAGAAGAGTCCTAGGGTTTTGTGCCACTTCGTAAATCTGCTTTGATTTCACTCAGTTTAGTTTTGCTATCATGGAAGTAAAATACTGGTTACTCTGTCAGTAGTGGGGATTGTCTCACCAGCCATGAAAGTGATTGTGTATTGCTGTAGGTAGCTGGCCTTAACAATGCCTTGATAGAAATATTTCAAGAACACAAATTCTACTCTGCTCAGAGTTTGAACTTGACATTGTTTTTTGTTCTGTTTTTAAGACAGGATTTTTCTGTATAGTCCTAACTGTGCTGGAACTTGCTCAGTAGTCCAGACTGACCTTGAATTTGTAATCCTCCTACCTCCACCTCTTAGCAAATCTTCCCGGCCTGTGCCACCTCAGTTGGTGATAATTGTTTTAAGTCTGGTTTCAGCTCTTGGTTTTCAGAGTTTGTTTGTTTATTTGTTTTCTTGAAGCTAAGGACTAAGCTGAAGCTGATTAGAGTTCTTTAAGAGTGCTAGCTTCTCCTTGTTTAGATGCCTCCCATGGAGAGAATACTATCTTAGCTTTGAGTTGGAACTCCTTGTACATTGTAGGTTCACAGTAAAACATCAAGAAGGAATGGAAGATTGATTTCCATAGAATCAGTCAGAATCCCCGTTACTGTCAGGTCTTAGAACTGCTTTGGTTGGACCTGATAGAGTGCTGACTTGGGATTTTTCTTGATACCAAATAAGAATAATACATGTAAATTATTTTAAGATGCTTGTTGGTTGTCAATTGGCTCAGTCTCAGGGACCAGCATTGTGGATGCTTTGATGTTGTGAAGTCATTAATTGAAACCCAGAGAAGACATTTTTCTATCTTAAAAGTATAACTATCCAGAAATTTTCTACAACTCAAAGATTAAATGGGAAAAAATGAAAGATTAGAGATGTCCCAAATGAATGACTTCTGTCCCTAACGGTTTAGTTGTCTTTGAATAGGAATGAGCTTTCCCCAGAGGTGGCACATGATTGAACAAGGGCCCTTCCTGCGCGGTCCACTTCCCTCCTGCTCCTCTAAGTGTCTCTAGCATTGTGACTTTGGTTTTAACCTTATATTGCTGTGCAAGCTACAAAAGAGTCAGGTTTTTCTGCCCCTGCCTCCTGATTATCCTTTTAAGCAATGCTGATTGCAGGAAATTGCTATGGTACAAAGCGGATGTCACAACGCATACTGATTAAAACCTGCATGTGTCATTCACTGCCTGATTGAAGTAATCACACAGAGGGAAAAGAGATGAGAAAATGGCTAAATGTTCAGGGAGGGGAGCTCTTTCTTATCTTTCAGGTTTAAGGATCTTGAGTTATAAAATAAAACCAGTGTGAGACTTGCATTTCAGCCATTTTGCTTCCTTCTGAATCCTTTGAATTCTGAGCAGGTCCTGGGTCTCTGGTCATAATGGGGACAGGAGCTGAGGAGGCTGGAGAGGTGGGTCAGTGGTTAAGAATGTCTGCTGTCCTTGTAGAGGACCCAAGTTTGGTTTCTGGCACCGTGTCAGGCAGCTTACAACCACCTGTAGCCACAGCTCTCCAGCTGTGGTTCTCCACCTTCCTCACGCTGGGACCCTTTACTACAGCTCCTCGTGTTGCGGTGACCCCTAACCATTATTTTCATTGAAATATGTCATTATTTCATAACTGTAATTTTGCTACTGTTATGAATTGTAATGTAAAATCTGATATGCAGGAGATTTGGTGTCTGACCCCTGTGAAAAGGTTGTTCAACCTCTAGGTTGAGAACCATTGCTCTAGGGGATCTGATGCCTCTTTTGACCTTTGCGGGCACCCACCCACACATACACATTAAAAAAAAACACAAAAATGTCATGCTGTTTTTTAATTAAATATGTACATATATACACACACACACATGTATACGTGTGTGTGTGTGAGTGTGTTTCGGGTTGTACTGAGCCCAGGGCTTCATGCATGCTAGACAAGTACCCTACTACTCAACTATATCACTAACCCTAACCCTGAGTTATTGCCTTTTATGAAACACATGGAACCCTATATGTGTGACTGCAAAATAGTTGAACTTTTCAAGGGGATGCATAGCTATAAATAAGTTTATCTGTTAGTTAGTCTTCAGAGTATTGAAACTATAGTTAAATTCAAATGATGTTTTAAGATGTTTTAGCTTCATGTGCTCTGTGCTCTTTAACTACTAATACTAGTTAAAGTGTTTGTCTCATTTGGGCGTGGCATTTAGAGTAGGTACAGTAAATTTCTGTTTGGGTTTGTTGGTGCTGCCTTAACAGAATATTAAGACTGGGCAATTTATGAAGCACGGAAATGTGTTTCTCCTGGAGGTTAGGAGTCCAGTCTGAAAGCTCTTGCAGGTTGAGTACTTAGTGAAAGCTGGGCCTATGCTTCTGCAGTGGCACCAAGTCACCACATCCTCTAGAGCAGAGGAATTCCGCATCTTCTGTGGTAGAGGCGAAGATGGGCTAAATTCCTACTGATAGGAATAAAGTGAAATAATTAAAATCTGGTAATTCTCATCCAGAGCTTCGTAACCCGTCTGCGTTTCCTGTCTTCTGTTCTTGTGCCTCCTGTGTATATGCCTGAGCACCGAAGAACACCTAGGCTTGTGGATTTTCACTTAGTTGAGTGTTGAATTGCCAGTGCTTCTTGAGCAGAAGACAGTAAGGGCCAAATATTGTAGCAGGCATTGACGGCATCACTAATGTCTTCCTATCTCGTTCTCTCTCAGGTACAGAACCATGGTATTTCTACTTAATCAATGGATTTCTGAATTTCAACGTTGCTTTTGCATTGGCTCTTCTGGTCTTACCACTGACTTTTCTTATGGAGTACCTGCTGCAGAGATTCCATGGTGAGTGGTTTGAGATAAGGCAGGATTTGGAGGAGAAAGCAAGTAACAGGTTAAATACCAAGTGGAAAACTGCTTATTTTAGTCTCCACTTTCTCTCTATGAAAATGGTTGAATAACTGAAATTTTAGTTTGTATTTGTAGATTATTTGGTTAATTGTTTGAATTGAACAAGATGAAGCTTTGCATCATCTTAAGGGAGCAGTTCTCATCCTGTGAGTCATAGCCCCTTGGGGTTGCATATTCTGTATTTACATTGTGATTCATAACAGTAACAAATTTACAGTTACAAAATAGCAACGAAATAACTTTTTGTTTGTGGGTCATCACAACATGAGGAACTGTATTAAAGGGTCAGCATTAGGAAGGTTAAGAACCACTGCCTTAAGGGAAGGAGGTCAGTGTGATTTTACCATTACCAGGGAAGCAGAGACATTTGGGGAAAGCACAGGAGACCAGCCTGTTTGAACCATTCCCCTTGTAGAGGCAAGCGTCTTGGATGATTATTTACAGTGATCTGTGCTGCAGGCAAACATTCTGGAGCTGGAACTGAAGCAGCTGCTTGGACTTGCCAGGGGCCAATACTCCAGACTCCCTCTGCTGTATGGCACTCACCTTACTCTGATCGCATGTCATACAGCCGCTGCTTTCTCAAGCAGTGGAGCTGGGTTTCTGGTATCTGCACTATGGAAGACAAATTTGAGCAGAAATTCATGAGAGCTTTGGAAAGGTTTAACTTGAGACATCTTAGTTGGATTTTTGTGCGAGATGAATGATCTTCCCTTCTCACCTGCTCAACTTTTCTTGTTAATGGTTTATATAGCATGTGCTGTCTGGACAGTGAGGGGATCTTCACTCATTTAAAAAGATTTGGAAAATGATTGGAAGGAGCAGGGGAGAGTATATTGTGGAGGCCAGTTCTGGCTCTCTGTTGTGGAATCTTGGGATTGAACTCAGGTTGTCGAGTTTATATGGCAGGGTAAATCGTATTACCCCCTGAGCCATCTCACTGGCCCAAGGTCAGGAGTGTTTACCTCCAAAGAGTTCTGTAGTTGCACCAATGGTCTAGTAACTAAATGGGACAACTGGGAGGGCTCTTGACTATCATGCTGTAGACATAATGAACACCAGGGGGTGCTGTCTGCCCACCTCTTGCCAGCATTTTGTAGATACCTCCCTCATTGTCAGTAATGCCAACCTACCATGGTTGCCTTTTTCTCAAGGCCCTTGTAATGCCAGAATTCTCCAGCAGGTGCTTGGGGCACAGTGTTCTCTATGTTCCTTTTATTCTTTTAAGTACATGTTGGTTTCACTTTTGTGGTTCAGAGTAGATGTGGATTGTAAAGACAGAAAACTTCCTTTTAGAGTATTTTGTGTTTGCTTTGAAGCATTGTCATTGGTCTTGGTGACACCAGAGAATGAGGCATTTGGGTCAAGTTTGGACAACAGAACAAAACAAGGCAGACTGGGTTGGGCTTGATGAATAGGGTTCAAGAATTCAACTGATTTTTTTTCTTTTTTTCATCCATGCCTGTTTTAACAAACCCACTGGTGTGTGGATAAAAGGATTACTCAAAGTGGATTTGATTAATTTGGGGAATCTTTAGTCTTAGTGGCAGGACCCATACAGAGAATATGCTTTTTATCTTTGCCCACCTAGAGTTTACTAAGCTCTGTTATCGTTAACTGTACTTCCCCTGTGTTTTAACTATTGTTCCTCCCACTAAGCTTTGAGTCTCTTGGAAAAACTCAGGAGTATGTTCCTTATGTTAGAATGAGGGTAAATTCCTAAGTTGAAACATTTTAATGGGATGTCCTCCTAGTATCAAATTAAAATTTAAAAAAAAAGACTTTGAAACAAAATGCATTGTTTGGTTCTCACATGATGACAGGGGATGTTATTTTGTCTTGCAGTTCAGAATTTAGGACATCCATATTGGCTTACCTTGGCACCAATGTATATTTGGTTTCTAATTTTCTTCATCCAACCTCACAAAGAGGAGCGATTTCTTTTCCCAGTGTACCCACTTATATGTCTCTGTGGCGCTGTTTCTCTTTCTGCTCTTCAGGTGAGTTTCTGGGAGATGTTTGTCTGCCTCTTCCTGTTTCATTTCTGACATGATTGCTTGTGAAACTTTGAGGACAGGTGGATGTCTGTGAGTTGCAGGCCAGCCGGTCTCTGTAGTGTGCTCCAGGCTAGCCAACACTGCTCAGTGTGACCCTGTCTCAGCAGTAGCAACAGCAAAGACCCTTATGAATACAGAGTACACCTCTATCCATAACATGAAATATATCCTGAAAGCTCTGTGTATTGATGAGGATATATTTCACTCTATTTGCTATTGATTATGTTTGTAATGTTCATTTGTCTCCTGTCAACAGCATCCATTTACTACTACATTTTAGCTTATCATATAGGACATCACATATAGTAGCACAGGGGCAGACCAAACAGAATGTGTGTTCTATAGTTATTAGATCAGAATCAAACATGGTCAGGATTTTGGGATTATATCAGACAGTTAGCAATATGGGGCAGTTTGTAATCTTGATTTAAAGCTTGTCCAGATCAATTCTCTGGCAGAGTTAATTTTACATGTGTTTGATTATCTCTGTGTTTATGACCTCAACAGTTTGGGACCCTCTCATGTTCTTGCTACCATTTACAGTTGTCAGGGAAAGAAAAAAAAATAAGGTGATAGCTTTTTGTTTTTAACAGATTTATTAAGTGAGAACTCATAAACTATGAGTTCAGCTTTTTAGTGGCTTTAGTGTATTTGCAGGTGTCTGCAGCCGCGAGTTTAGGACATTTTCATCACCTCAAAAGCTCCATGCTCATTACCTAGCGCCCCCACCCCTTTGTCATGGTATATCCTCAGTACACTGTCACTGTCTCCTTTGTATATCAATTTGTCTATTCTGTGCATCCCATGTGAGTGAAATCTTAAAATATATGTTATTTTATCACTGATCTCTTTCACGTGGCATAATGTTTTAAGGTTTGTCTGTGTTAGGGTGATATTATAATTAGGAAATACATATATATTATGTGGCTGTATATAATATATTACATATACTTATTTGAGATAGGGAGTCTCACTGTGTAGTCTTTGTATGTAGACCAGGTTAGCTTTGAATTTACGTAGATTCATCTGCCTATACCTCCCTAGTTCTGTGATTGACGGTGTGTACTACCATGTCCACCAGGGTAATAGTTTTAAAAGATAACTTTATTTATAAAGTATAGCTTCATGTGAGATAGTTTAGAGATTGTTGAAAGCATTTCCTCTTCCATCAAGACACCTATAACTTTATATCATCTTAACTTTTGTCATAATGTTGTCAGTATTGTCATATCTAAAATACTGATTTTATTCAGATATTTTAAGATAAGTTATTAGTGTTGGGGCTTACGTCTGTAGTTCTATACTTGAGGGACAGAAGCAAGAAGGTAGCAAACTACTGAGGGATGCAGAGTAACAGCCTGTCTTGAGAAGCAAAAAAGAAAAAAACAACATTAGAACCTCATGCACCAGCAAAAATATGCACTTTATTTTCTTTTGACAGTAGAGTTTATTCTTGTAAAGTTGGCTGGCTAAGCAAACCTGCAGACAGAGCTAGAATAGTTGACTTTGGTCTTTGAATTTGGAATGGGTACCACACCAAGTGTTTGCACATGCTCAGATCCTTCCTCACACCCCTTATTCTGCTTCTGTATCCCAGTTTTTCTGTGATGTCATGTGGCCGTGTATATTGTGTCTGTGATGTCATGTGGCCGTGTATATTGTGTCTGTGATAGCGTGTG